ACACACACACACACACACACACACACACACACACACACACACACACAAACTCGATCTTTTACTTTTTGCCTGGGCACTATTTCTATGCCCAGAAAGGCTGCCTCAGTTGCCTGTCTGTACTCCGGGTGGGGGGGAGGGTGCTGTGTGGTCTCAAGCTTATTAAGAGCTGCATTTGCTCAGTCTTTTCTGCTGCCCTTTTTGCTTTGCATCCTAGGGAAGTCAGTCACAGGGACAGCCTGACCTTCCCCTCAGAAGTTATTCTAGGAGTTTCCTGTCATCACCCCAAACCCCTCTCCAGAAGACCTCACAAGCCAACAAGACAAACCACGTACTCCATCTTCAGGGGTTTAACTTCTTGGAGACTTCATATCCAGTCTTCCAGAGAAAACTTGCCATGTGCCAAACTGCCCCGATGAGGTCTTTCAACCCTAGAGCATCTACATAGTCCTCAAATGGAATGCTGAGGCTTTCTGGTGGTTTCAATGTATTACCTTATTTAATCCCGTAAAGCTTCAAGCTTTAATCTCAGCATGTGAGAGCCAGAGGCAGGCAGATCTCTGAGTTTCAGGCCAGCGAGGGATATATAGCAAGTGAGACCCTGGAGGGAGGGGAGGGAAGGAAAGGGAGGCTATGAAACCTCAGGTTGTGGATCTATCCTTGTGTGCCACAAAGAAGACTTTCTTCCTCAATTCCCTCTCACGGTGGTGACAATGGGGTCCTGGTTAGAAAAGACAGAGAGGGATGCCTGATTTGACCATAGTGCACCTATAGCTGTCAGTTCTAAGTCTGTCCAGAAACATGTCTTCTTTTCTGCTATTAAGCACTGTAGTGACCTTGAAAGAAAACAACATGTAATATATCGTTCTCTTTTTGTGACCAGAAGGTGGATTTTTCCTCCAACAAGATTTTTGAAATGGATGACCTTTCAGCTTACCGAACTCTCACTCAACTAATTTTGGACAGTATCCTTTGCATGCATGAAAGGGAGATGCTGGTGTCTAGCCCCATTGAAGAAGGTGTTACAGACTACACAGAAAGGCAGTAGAGAAGTGATTTTCCTAAAGTGTGTAACTCGTGTAACTAAGAATTGCTAGTCATAAAACAAGCAATCGAATTTGTTTTTCAAGAATCAGTTCTATATGCTAAAGCTTGCCATAGGCTTCTAACCCTAGCAAACGGAGAGAGATGGTCCTTGACATGAATGCAAGCTTGTTTCTGATTTTAGAGCTAGGGAAGCTCTGTTTAATGAACATGTTTCTTCAAATTTACTTAAACTTTTGCCTAATTTTATATAAATTCAGAATCTGAAAAATGTAGATTTATCATGAGGAAAATTAATAGTTATTCTATGGAAGAATTCATACTTCTGCTTTTAAATAAAACAAGTCATCCTAGTATGTTATCTCTATCCATCCATCCATCCATCCATCCATCCATCCATCCATCCATCCATCCGTCTGTCTATCTATTTGTGTTGGGATCAAAGTGGGGACTTTATATATGCTTGGTTAAGTTCTCTAATACAGACCTATTCCTCCAGCCCTTTGAGCATTTTAAATATGCTTAACTTAAAACAAAAGAAAAGTCCAGTTTTTAGTGTGCCGTTATCTTGGGGAACATACATGTATGCATTGCATAAGTCAGACTCCTATGCCAACAGAATGCCAAGTTCAACTTGTATAGCCTAAAGAGTTAACTGAAGGTCTGTGAATCTAATGAGCTTGAGTTTTCTTTGCACCAGGGACTGATATTCTCTGGGTAATAAGAGGGCAAAGCCTTCTGTTGTTCAGCAAGTATCTTTCTCCCCACTTGAGAATTGAGGGGGGTAGGGTGGTGCCTGAGTTGATTGCCCTTGAGTGTCTCATTCCAGGGATGAGGCAGCAAGTTGTTTATAATAAGCCTGGGATTACAGAGGTGGTGTTCTTGGAGCTGTACTTTGTAGAGAAAGTCTTTACTTATATTTGGAAGGCTAGAATACAGTCCTTCCCCTTTTTGAACTTAAAGATGAAAATAAGCAGTAAGTGAACAGTTAGATGGTGCTCATGATTAGCCCAATAGAGACATCAGATAATGATTTAAACAAAGTTTCCATGCAAACCAGAGGCGCACACGTAAGCAACGCCTTTCTATCGAACCTTGGCTTCATGCTTCACCATTGTGTGTACTGAATGTTCAGAGAGAGAGAGAGAGAGAGAGAGAGAGAGAGAGAAATCTACTCACTCTCAGCCATGCAAAGGAATGCTGCCCAGAAGGACCAGGAGAGCACAGCCTGGAACTTTCTAGAAATCCAGATCTTGGGCTCCGTCCACGGCCTAGTTGAATCAAGTATTTTGACAATTTGAGTGCACATTAAAGCTAAGAATCTGGCTGTACCTCGGAGCCCTGCCTGTCAGAAGAGACTCAGCACTCAGAGGCCCTGCCTCTGCCTCAGGGTACTCAGAGACCACTGTGCAGTTGGATATGGAGAACTTTCATTCTGGAAAGACATCTTCATTGTGCAGCCCAGAATTGCCAAAGGAAAGAACTCTCACACACTGTAGACTCAAACCATTTCTATCATGAGGGTTTTCATTTTTTTAAATCAATTCAGCTTTTCATGTACAAAAGTAAAACATTAGAACTTTGTGAATGTCAAATAATATAGTGATATCATAAAGAAAGGAATTAGGTTTTCTTTTTTAAATGTTGACATTTGACACAGCAGTCGAGTCTTATCATTGACATACAAAGAGAAGTAATTATTACATCAAGACTAATAGAAATCCAGTGCCTGGGCATATAGAGTACATCATGATGTCCTTATCTGTGTTTGAAAAACCACAAAGACAAACAGCCGAAGCAAACTGCCCTTCTTGAGCTGTAAATGAAATAAAATTACAAACACTTTAATATCAGAAATTCTATATATAATTAACATTAACAGATTTGGGGAAATAAACCTTTTTTTTTTCAATAAAGAAAATCAAGTAATAATGTAAAATTTAATGGAATCCCGCACCCCTTAAGCTGTTTTTTTTTACGTTTTACAGCTTATCTGGCCTACACGCATGTTTGTCAGTGCACACAGCCTAGTGTTCGTATGGAGGTCAGAAGACAACCTCTGGGAGTTAGTTCTCTCTTTCCACCATGTGGGTCTCAGGAGGGATTCTACTCAGTCCATCAGACTTGGTGACAGGTGCCTTTTGGCCTCTTTCCAGCTCCCAAATTCAGGACCTTTCACAATACAACTCAGTACACTAGAAATAAAGGGGTTTCTCTGAGTATATTCTCTACAGAGGTATTTTAAGCACACTAATCTAGAAGTGCCAGCTGCTGGGAAGTACACTGAGTGAGGGGTTCTCTTTGTAACTTCTCTGTGCCCATAAAAATTAGCTCAACCACTTTTAAAAAACAGCTTTAAATTCTCTTAAAGTGTGACAGTGAGTATCCACACTTACTATGACCTGGTACTTCTGGCTTCTGCTGAGTTTATCACATGTGTGCCTAGAGGCTTGCAGAACAGTACTGATTGTGCTGTTTGCTGCAATAGCAAAAATGAAGACACACCAACTGCTCATCAAGAAGAGAAGATATAAATAAATTATGTTACTGTCAGGTAATAGCAAATGCTACATTAGTGAAAGTAGATGAAATATACCAATGGATTGCAACAGAGATGAATATTTACGATTTTTTAGACCTTATTTTTGTTTGTGAATATTCTGCCTGCATGTATGTATGTGTACTGTGTGAATGAATGATACCTATGGAGGGCAGTAGGGGGCGACAGATCCCCTGGACCTAGCATAACAGAAGTTTGTGAGCCTCCATGAGGGTGCCAGGAATTAAACCTGGATCCTCTGCAAGAACAACACACTCTCTTAACTACTGAGTCATTTCTCTATCCCAGGGATAATTTTTAATAAAAAACAAATACAATCAAGGTATAACAGGGAAAAAGACAACTCAATATAGTATTTCTGAAAGGCAGATACAAAGATCAAACAGGAGGGGTGTGTGTGTGTGTGTGTGTGTGTGTGTGTGTGTGTGTGTGTGCCTTAGAACTGAAGTTCAGGGTCTTGTAAATGCACCAAAATCCCAGCCCCCTTATGTTTTTAATAGTCTATTCTATCCAAGAATTAAAAATTGGATCTTTTAATTTATTTGTGTGTGTGTGTGTGTGTGTGTGTGTGTGTGTGTGTGTGTGTGTGTATCACATGAGTGCAATGTCCATGGAGGCCAGAAGAGGGTGTTGGATCCTCTGGAACTGGAGTTACAGGCAGTTATGAGCTGCCTAATGTGGGTGCTGGGAACCAAACTCAGGTCCTTCGCAAAAGCAATATGTAGCCTTAACTGCTGAGCCATCTCTCCAGCCTCAAACCCTGAAAATTCTTAATTAAACCATTTGAAAATAATTTAAACCAATTATGCTTGTAACATAAAATGATTATAGTAGGTTATATTAATATCTTGAACTACATTGTTAACTATAAGGTGTCAATTTTTTGCTTTATCATATTAGATTATTTTGTCCTTTCCTATGTATGTAATTGATGATTAGTGGGTAATCATCCTAAATTGCTAGGCAAGAAACTTAGTCAAGGTAAATGTATTTATTATCAAGTAAAGATGTATTTTATTCTTTGCCTTTAAAGCATTGGCTGGTTGCTGATAAAAGCATGATTTGTAGAATTTTAAATTTAGACAGTATTTTAAAGGTCACTTAGCACTAATCGATATTCTGTGTATTTTATGGAGAAGGAGCAGGGAAGGTCAGCACCTTGCTGGGGCTCCCTGGCGAACAGCTGACCTGAGGTTACTGTTCTGAATTCTTTCGGTTTGCCCACGTTGCAATGCACTGAGCAATTACTACGTTTTATAACACCACCATTTAAGCCATATGCGTATTTCCTTACTCCTTGAGATTCACTCTCGTGGCAAAGACCATTTTTCACTAGTAAGATGATAGAGATTTAATAGGATTGGTTGTGATTAAAGCCATCATTGTGTCTCTCTCCACTAAGAGAATAGTGATGGATTTTGGCATTATTTCTCAGTAACTGTTTTCTGTACACCCAAACCATATTTTATGATTGTAGACAAATGAATAAAAGCAAACGCTGAACTAGTGAATAATTCATGTCAGGTGTTTATGAACTTCTGACAGCATTGCTGAAGTGTGAAAATATATTGGGTTCCCTCGACCATGGCTATAAAGCTATGCTTAAGTGCCACAGGGCTCCTTCACTTGGTTTCCACAACAATCTGAAATTCCTCTGTAAATGATGTATTCACAGAAATGGCAAAACTTCAGAACTGGGAAGCAATGTGATGATTTTGAGTCTTTCTCCTGATAGCCCTCCTTTAATATTATAATGCTCCTAAGAGGATTAATCCAGTGAACTAATTCACTGGAATAGTTTAGTGACTTATCAGATTGTACTTCTTATCAGCAACTCCTGAACCCTCAAAAAGAACGTTAAATAATAATGTTAGGAGGAAGAGCAAGAAACACACCAGGAAGGGTCTTAAGATAATTGGAGATTAGAGTGTTGACGGTATTCTAGCTGGGAAGGTGTGGCTAGCTGGGAACTCAAAGCTCCTCACCACCCAGTCATGTGTACGGATCAGAATCACCACTGGCAGTGACTAATAATGTGACTGTAGGAATAAGCAGGATGGCCGTGTAAAGAATGTGTTCATTCCTGGGAAATGTGTTCTAGGACTCCTCAGATGCCCAAGCCTGGATGCTCAATGTTTATAATGAGTTAGATGTCGTATATGAGTTAGATGCTATCTCAAACATTGTTATGCCATATTGTTAGATAATAATGACAAAGGGAGAGTCTATATAACTTTGATACAGTTGTATGTTTTTTGTAAGTGTGCTCATCATGTGGTTGATTGTCTGAATGAAAGGGTGTGGAATCTATGCAAATTTTAGGCCATTGTATCATTTACTTGTGAGCCCAACCTACGGTGCACTGAAAGCCTTTCAGTGTCAAGGGGAGTGACTTGGGAGGTGGGAGGAAATGGAAGGAAGTGAGCACTGTTCTCAACAGGGGAACTTGTTACATTCCTTATTCTTTGCATAACATCCTGAATAACCAGAACGGGATCCGCTGGAGCCTGGGCTGTGATTGCAGTAAGGCAGCCACATTTCTCTTTTCTTTCCTCCTGCTTCTCATTTCAGAAAACATGGCTGGTAGCAGTCATAGGTAGAAAGGAAGCTGGAGGTAGCAGGGTTGCTAAGGCAGTTTCTGAAGTCTCAGAACTACGCTTCCAATCCCTGACGTCACAGTCATTGTTTGCTGTCCAGTATTCTAGCTCCTTTCCCTGGCCGGCTTCTAGTAGACTGCTATCACAGCTGCCCACTGCAGCCAGTCTACTCTGCTGTTATTTGCAGCATCTTCCTCTTGGTGGGAATGGAGCTTCCATGACACTAGTGTTCAGAAACACAGCTTACAGGCTTTTTTCTCTCTGACACTGAGCAGATGGCTATTTGAAGTTTTCATGGCTGAATTGTTGTTGCCAAAGATTGCTTGCTGCACAGATATTTCATACACAGCTGTGAGAGGTCATTTAGTCTCTCATTTCCTATATTTCATGTTCATCTTTCACGACAGTCCAGAGCTGAAAAGAGCTGGCCTTTGTTCTATTTCCAAAATCATTGTTTAACCAGCCCAAAGGGATCTGAAAAATAGTGTTTGTGAGTAAATACCTGTTTGTATGCTTGTTTTTGGCAGACATCTTGTTCATAGGAGATTTGAAATGGTGTATTGACTACAACAAAACTATTTCTGCCTGTGGGTAGAATCTGGAACCAATAGGAGAAACCTAGAAATTTCTGCTACATTTGGTAACATCTTTATCCAGTTTTTTCTAAATCTCTTTCTAGTCCAGCTCTTTAATTTCATTCCTAGCCCTGAGTTATCCATTTTCATGCTAAGAGTTAGAGGACATGATTCCTTGGCCCCATGTGATTATAATTTAATGATGACATTAGTGCCTTATAATTTGAAGAATAGCTCATTCACACCTTTTTTCAAACAAACTTGTTCTTTGACAGTTTCATGCATGCATATATTACTTATTGGCTATTCTTATGCTCACCCTCATTCCTTTCCTGTAAATACCCTTTCTTCCCCATGAGCCCCTTTCCTACTTTTATGTCTTTTCGTTTTGTTTTGTGACTCACGGAGTTTAACAAGGGCTGTCTGTGTGATCATGGGTTTAAATTATCCACTGGAGCCTGATAGCTCACCAGTGAGTATACAACTCACTGGACAGAGTGGCCAATCCCCTAAATATATCAGTATCAAGTAGTTTAGGAAAGGGGGTAGGTCCCCGTGATTGCCTTCTTCATCCTGACTGTCGACAAAGCCAATCTTATGCAGCTCGGTGCTGAAACAGCTGCTCTGAGATTGTGATTGTGACAGCTGTGTTATGCCCAGAAGACAGCATTTTGCAGCTCTTCTCCCAATATATCAGCTCTTACATTATTTCCATAGAGCTTACCAAGTCATAGAGGAGTGGCTTAAATGTCCTGTTTAGGGCTGAGCTCAACCATCACGTATTTCAACATTTTCACAGAGACCCATGAGTCTCTGTGTTCACCATCACTCACTGCGAAGAGGAGCTTCTCTTACTAAGACTGAAAGTTGCATTTGTTTATGGACATAAATGTAAATATTTTGAAGGAAATTTCGTTCTATGTCAGTTTAGCTAACCAACAATAGTTCAGTTCCCTTGGAGCCCATGGCTTCTCCAACCATTGGTTTTCAATCAAGTTTGCAGTGCCGGGCACGAATTCTCTCCTGTGCCCTGAATACAGAGACAGTTGGTTACTCCATAATAGCTATGCTATTATTGCTTCAGTTTCATACCCAATTTTTATTTATTTTTCTCCATGACTTACCTCCTAGCCTCATACCAACTTGTTACAAATGCAAAATCTGATAGGGAAAAATTGTGTAAGCCATCTAGGAGTTTTGAATTTATCCTTTAATTTTTTTTAAAAAAAATTATTTATGTGTGAATGTATGTGTGTGGTATGTGCACATGAGTACAAATACCCTTGGGGACCTGAAGAGGGCATCAGATTTTCTAGTGCTGGAGTCATAGATAATCGTGAACTGTCTGATGTGGGTGCAGGCTTCCAAACTCAGGTCTTCTGCAAAAACAGTACATATTCTTAACCAGTAAGTCACCACTCCAGCCCCTTATATGAGAATTTAAAAAAATTAAACAGAATACCTGATCAACATTTTGAAACGGTTAACCTGACTTTAGCATGTAAGGTTAGCATGGATATTAAGGAAACCCACTAATGCTAAAGGTGAGTTAAGTTGGCAGATGAGTGAATACAAATAGCAGTTAAAGACACCTTTTAAAGCAATAATGCCAGGTCTTGGTGATTCCATTAGATGCTGTGAAGACCATGAGGAAATGGTCGCGTTACAGGCTACCTGGGAGGGAGAGCTGGTCTCTGATGGAGCAGTGGCATTCATCCCTGGGAACTAGTCAGGTGGTTTGAGGCCAGAAAAGGCTGAGTAGGACACTTGGCTTTGGAATTGCAGTTTGGGATGATTGTAAGCTTGGGACACAGGATAAACTTAAAATGTGATTGGTGAGAACAGAACAACAAATGGTGATTATGAGAGCAGACTTCCAGCTTCTGCACTTGAACAGAAGAGAAGCCAGTACCAATGGGATAAAGGACCACTCCCCTTTGTGAGAGAGTGTTGGTCTTCCCATTTGTTTTCATAGGGTGACTGTCTTCCTGCCTGAGGGGAGCCACATGAGTTGCTCATGGAGGTCATTAACTAACTGAGGGAAGCACCAGGAAGCAGCTCTGAAAGGCTGTTTCCTTCCATGGTATTTAATGAGTCACGTGGATACAAATGCTATGCCTCTAATATTTTATAAAATTGATGTTTTATCCTATGTGAAAAACATGTCAAGATTTAGGGCTCATTTCACCTGGGGCAAATAATGTTCCTTTAAACTCTTGTGTGATTTTTTTTTTTTAGTGATAATTATAACACTGATTTTACTGATTTTATATACACACACATAATGTATTGTATATAATTTTAAAATATTTCCAAAGACTTGGAATAAGATTTTCCTTAAACATAGCCCTTGTGCACAGACAACATGATAGAAGAAATCCGTGGGCTGGAGAGTTGCATCAGCCTGACCCACCTTAGTCTGGCTGGCAACAGGATCAAAACAATTAATGGCCTAGGCACGCTATCCATCAGAGTGCTTTCCTTGGTGAGTCCCACATCTCATTCTTTGTAGAAGTAGTGGATATTGTTCAAGAAGTGTATGAATTGTGACTGCTAAGAATTTGTCTTTTTCTCCTTATAGTATCTGCTGTGCATGCATTCTCTCTCCCTCCCTCCCTCTCCTCTCTCTCTCTCTCTCTCTCTCTGTGATCAATAGTCCATATTGAAGTAAAGCCAGTTTCAAATTTGGTATCCAAATAAAAAATTTTCTAGATGATTGATTTTTTTTTATGCTATGTAAGAAGGTATATTTTAATAATAGTTTCTAATATATAGTTTTTGGTGAAAATAACATTTGGGCATAGTAAGCATGTTTGTTGCTGCTCGTACTTTATTGGATGCAAATGGACCACTGAGGCACTGAGCTCAGGCAGCCCATCTATACAAATGCATGCTAGTTTCCTGCTCTAGAAGGTGTAAGTCATGCTGAGAATAAACACATAGTTCCAGTCAGAAAGAAGAGGATGAAGCTAGTCCTGATGAAACCCAATCAGATAGTAGGGAAGGAGAACCTCCTTCAGTGGACTAGGGGAGGGGCATGGGGGAGAAGGGGGAGGAAGGGTGGGACCTGGAGGAGATGAGGGAGGGAGCCACAGCCAGGATACAAAGTGAATAAATTGTAATAAATAATAATAAAAATTATTTTCCTGAAAAAAAAAAAAAAGATTTCATCTGCCTGCTGTTTCCCAAAGAAAATGTCTTTTTAAGCCTTGTGACATGCTACATGACTAAAACTCAAATGAAGATGGAGAGTGTTTGCTAACAAGATCCAAGAGTCCCAAAGATATACATGATATTCATAAATTACAGTATGGGTTACTAGTGGGTGAGAAAGGGTGCTAATGTTTACACACAGACTCTTCCTTTTTTCCTTTCTCTTCCCTCCCAGCCTGAGACGGCTCTGCTGCCTTTATTACACCCGTCAGAGGGTGGGCAGGGAACATTTTGTAGAGGCTTGTATCTTACTAATGTTTATGTCTTTCTCACAGGAGCGTGTTAAACTATGAAATCACACCTTGGGTTAGGTTTACATTTTTTTAATTTAAAATTATTTTTTATTTTATGTGTATGAATGGTTTGCCTGCATAATTGTCTGTGTACCACTTTCATGCCTGGTGTCTAGGGAGGAAGGAGAGGGTATAGGATTCCCCTGGAACTGGTGTTACAGATAGTTGTGAGCCACCATGTAGGTTCTGGGAAGCAAACCTGGACAAGTTTTCTGAGCCATCTCTCAGCCTCATGTACACATCTTTTACATATACATAGAAATTCTTTATTTAGCTATAGATCACCAATGTTTGGCTCTGATGATTTTTCTTTCCTCTTAAAGCTCAAAATACTATGTAAAGACTATTCTAACCATCCATAGAATTCAGTGAGGGCAGAGGGCAGGCATTCTAGTACCATGCATAGAAAGATTTCATAATTTACCTGAGATTTTATGGTTTTTGCCTGCATGTTTTAGGCATGTTAGCAAAAATATGAATGAAGTTGAGTCTAATAAACTAGATTTAAAAACT